TGGCTGCGCGGGCTGTCCATTTTGCAGCCTCTTCCCCCGCCACTGACTGGCAGAGACGGGTGGGGCCACACAACAGGCAGCCCTCTCAGCCCATCAGCAGTGAGGTCAACAGGGCCCCTCAGCCAATCAGAGGCATGGGGGGGAGGGGCACCCTGCCTGAATAAGCCTGCAAAAATGGCGGCCAGCCCCACGATCTACCTGCAAAATAGGCCGCCTTCCTCCTCAATTTGAGTAGGTCCCTAAGAATCTTATGACAATTTGGTGCATGCTCTGGATAATTCCTAGCTTACGGCTTGGTGGTTGTGAAGTGAGAAGTGCAGCTTCAAGCTCCCTCTTGGTGAGGGGGTCTAGAAATCTGGGTTTTGTACTCTGTGGGCAAGGCCCTAACCACTAGGTGATTGGGCAGAAAGGTCTTTTGCTCTTGCGGCTGCCTTATTTTGGCAGACAGGAAAGTAGAATCAGGAAATAGCTGCGTAAATGCCAGCGTTGGCTCTTACACAGCTGTGTAGATGCTATTTCACTGCATAGTGGTGAAATGGATTTGGTTTCTAATTGGTTTGGGATAATGTAGATTACATAAGATTTCAATTTTATAGTGTCACAGTGGATCCATATAAAGGCTTTTAAAAGTTTAACTGTTCTAATATTAGTGCTATGGCAGTCCTCTCAAACATTTCCAATTACCAAACTACCCTGCAATCAGTGCTTCCCAGGTTACCAGATCCAAACTGGTATGTACGTTTCATGTGACCTGTTAGTTAACTGTTCAGATTAGTTAGGAGATTGAGATGTTTGGTAGAGATTTATTAGTGCTCTTTTGGCCTTTAGAACTAAACAAATAACTCTAATGACTCAGGAACAATCCTGTTAGAAAATGGCAGATTTCCTAGGTTTTAGGAAACTGTTTTGCCAATTACAGCAGTACTTAATGTGCTCAGGCATTGCAGTTAGTTTAGTAGAACCACAAAGAATGGTAATCTCTTCACTGTGACTCTAAAACAGGAAAACCGAACTGTCTGTGATGTTAACAGTTCTGTGGTACTCTTATATATTATCTGAGAAATCCAGCATGTTTGCTGAGATCCAGAAAATGAGTCATTTTAGATTAATTGATTTTGAAATGGTACTTTTCAGGAATTTCAGGATTCAATGGTATCTTTTTAAATATAAAGAATGATAGCAGCTAGATAAAGTTTAGAAGCTCAAAGGCTTTAGAAAAATTGTTTGTAGTCATGATGACAAAGCAACCACATTTTCTAGTTTAGAACTGTGTAATAATGTGCAACTAATCCAAATTAGTAACAACAAAGTGAGTTGTGAAGAGAGCACTTGAATTCAGTGAAAGCATATGAAGCCCCTTTTAAGTAACATGAATCCTTTTATTCACTATGCTTTAGTAATAAATGGGGAAAAAGCCACCTTGGAAACTCCAACATTTGCTCAGAAACGGCAACGCACGCTGGACATGCTGATTCGCTCTTTATACCAGGACCTCATGCCTGACCTACACAAGGTAAATCCAAGCTCTGAGCGATCTCTATGCACTTCATGTGTTGCCTCCTATCCTTGTTGGCATATAGGGCGGCCTGTTGTTCAGGAAAACACTCTTCCTGGTGAGTTTCAGTTTCCACACTAAGCTGAATGAGAAAGAGATGATTTTCCATTTTATGTCTCTTAGGAAAGGATCGTCTGTGTGACTGTTGAATATCAAAGACTCTTGTAATCTGGATAATTTTACATCAGTAAAGGAATAGGAAAGGAGTGCAGACCATGTTTTAATTACTTTAAGAACTGCAGGTGCACACAGATGTCTATAATGCCTATCCTTGGAAAATCATTAATTCTGGTGTGACTACTCTATAAGTGGTTCCTCGTTGTGCATTTAGCACTTGAACATGTACAAAATCAGAGGGCTTTTTCCTCCTTGATTTCTCTTAGTTTAGCTAAACAAGGCAGTTTTATATTTCCATATCCAAAAACTGTGCCACACATTTTTACAATCTTAGATGCAGAGAGATTAAGAGAGTTGGTATTTTGTTTATCAAAAGGCCATCTTTATTTCAGGTGGAGTGTGCAGGAATGAAGGAGATGAAGAATGATAATTTTTGAAAATTGGATGACTTTTAAAGAGAGTGGCAGTGGAAAAATGTACCCGTCAAAGTTGGCCGGAAAATTGTTGACAAAAGTTTTTTATTGGGGTTTGCTTATTAATCAATTTCAGCAAAATTCTGCTGTTGCAGTTGAGCAGGTTTTTAATTGAGCTCTGTCTGTCTGGCATGTTTCTGTCAATAACTCTCCTGGTGTGCTGCTAGCTGGCTTGCTCAGCTCCTGGGTAGTTCACCTTGTGGACAGCTGGGGAGGCCGGGCTTCCAAGTTCCCAGTTCCTTGACAGGTCTGTATCTTCCTGCTCTTTCAGGCTCCTGGTTGCTTTACAGTCCAGGCTACTGCTCTCTAGGTCCAAGGCAGCCCCTCAGAGCTGGGGCTTCCATGGTTATTTAGTCCAGGATGGGTGGGTGGTCTTGCTTGCTGTGTTGCTTGCGGGTTGCAGGGTGCCTTGCTTTGATGTGGCTTGCCACAGGGTCTCTGCGGAGCTGGGTAAAGAATGGTGATTCTGGTTTGTAGAGACTTTTGAAATGTTTATGTTTCATTCTGAAGTGGAATGAAATTGAATTTCAAAATCTTCTTCAAAATAGAATGACTGCTGTCTGTTCAGCACAACCATTACTATGATTTTAAATAAGTATTGTAGTGTGTTGCCTCATTTCCCAGTGAGTGGCGTTTGAATGTTGGGAACATTAAGAGTGCTAGCATCTCAGGACAAGAGGCTTGTTTAGAAGCAGTAGGATGTTGGTTCTGCACTGCATTGCATGCACAAACATTTACAGATGGGTCTGATGGGTTCTGGGAAACAGCATTGATTGTCAGCTGGGAAAGAGGATTTACAAACTTGCTACATGATTATCAAAAATTTGCCCTAATAGAAGTGGGTGATGCTTCAGTGAGAGAGAAGACTCATGCCTGTTCTTGACTGCTCATAGCCAAGGGCAGGTCAGAAGTAGGAGGAGAGCCTGTAAGTTGGTGTTAGGTGCGTGTCAGAAAAATTGTTGGGAAGAGATCGGGGTTTTATTGGCAGGTTTCAGAGGTAGCTGATAAAGAGGTTTGAGTTTACTGAAAGGACACTCAGATTGGAGATTTACGGGAGAAGAAATTTATGAATGGTTGCACTGGACTTTAGGTCCTGAATGTAGAGCATAGCATGTGTGTACAGGAAATAATAATGCAAGCTTCTCATGCTTGCTGATCCCCTCTATTTTGACTGACTTCAGTTTGTGAGGGAGAGTTTTTGTTAGGGTGGAAGACAAGCTTACTATCCAAGGACTAAATGCTAGGATGGTGTTCTAGGTTTGACTTTCTTGGCAGGTTTCAAAGGACGTTTCCAGCATTATCACAGTTTCAGTAGCAGCTGTAGTTGCCATTTCTAGAGCATTTTGACTCCAATCACCAGGTATCGCAGAAGAGGTTCAAACTGCAGCAATGGCCTTATGAGCAAAATTCATGCCAGGACCACCTTCTACTGCCACAAGAAAAGACTCACCCTTTGCTCTTGGCCTGACTCTCTTATTTATTTATTTATTGGGGTGGGGGGAGCTGAACTCGTCTCAGGTGTAATTGTTCACTTGTTAGTGTTCTCCTTAAGACCTCAGTCATCCTCTCCGGATATTTTAAGAGCATCTTATATTACTTCTGTAGGGCAAAAGATTCTGCAGATAATCAGGATTATTCATATATTTTGGTAATAAATATTTTTAGCAAAGAGATGCTCAAAATAAAAACCATACTGTCTTAGAATGTATTAGGTAATGACTATGTTGCCTCCTTTATTTTATGACAATTTGCATTTTATAGGAGCTTTAGCAAGAACCTTTTCCTCTTAACGAGACATTTGTTCTATACTTGACATCAGCAGAGCTACTACACAGAGCCTCATACATACCTTTATAAACGATTCTTGTCTGCTGTTGGCCTCTAATTCTGTTGCATGATTTGGTAGGACAGTCTAACAGTCGTTATTTAACTACTAGTCAATTGCCCACCGAGAATGATGGGCGGTGTGGGGGGAGCACCGTCCTGCCTCCAGCCCCACGCTCCCCCCAGCCCAGTCCAGCTCCGTGCACCCCCACTGCTCCACCCCATGGCACTGCTGCCTCCTAGGCGCAGGGCGGTGGGGAAGCTTGCATGCGGTAGCTGCAACCACCACCCAGTACCCCGCACTGCCATTGCTGTGCATCCAGCTGTGCACAATCCCCTCCCACCCTGCTGTTGTCAGGGCCCCGCAGCGGTGGGGTGCCTCCACTGTGTTCCCCCCCTCCCCTTCCCACTTCCCTCCCCACCACCTCCTATTCCCTGCCGGCTGTTGTTGGGGCCCAGCAGCAGCGGCAGCAAGGCTGGAGTAGCAGGGTGAGGCCAGTGCTGCGCCACCAGCACCCTGCGCTGCCGTCTGCCAGGACTGGGGTGTGGGGGGGAGGGAAGCATTCCCCCATAGCCAATGCATAGGGGGCAGTGTGGGTGCATGCGCACCCTCTGAGTGTGGCAGTGCATCCCCTACAAAAAGGGAAGTCACTGCTTGCC